CTTGAGCCGGTTGTAGCACCTGTGCACTGAGAAAGATAACAGAGTGATCACTCAAGCTTATCATTCTTTAAAGTATCCAGATCTGAACAACTGCAGAAATCAAATATAGGAAGTACATTTTCCAAGAGGCCCCGAAAGCACAGCTCCTTCATTCAGCATCTGTTTTTTTTTCAAATGTCTCCCAGGAAAAAAATAGTCAATATTCTTGAATTTCAGAACCACTTAATAAAACTGGATACAAACATACTCTGCACAATAAACAATTTTGTGTCCATTTTCAGGGAGAAAAAACACTATTAATTTAAAATTTCACAATCCAAACATAGTTACAGAAAATTCTTTCCAAATGCTGCATGCCAAATAATTTGTTTGGAAATAATAACACATGCAGGAGAAACAAACCCAACCAATCCCAATAAAATTAACAAAAAATATTTGTCCATTTCAGCAGCATAATTGTGATTATTTTTGAATGCATCCTTCTAACCACTGGCCCTGGGTTTTAAAAGTGTGCCCTTTTCTTATCTACAACGATAGAATGGCTTGAGTGTTATTTCCCCCCAAAAAAATGTCAGTATGAAGTTCTATACATACTGTTCTGCTTCTCCATCTTTTGGTTGTGTTGTACCACTTTTGCTCTCTTCATTTATATTTGCTCCTATCTTTTCTGGAAGAGATGCCAAATCTTTAAAAACATCAACATAATGCCCAAATCCTGGGCCCCAGTTCAAAAGATTATCCCCCCAAAAAAATGTCAGTATGAAGTTCTATACATACTGTTCTGCTTCTCCATCTTTTGGTTGTGTTGTACCACTTTTGCTCTCTTCATTTATATTTGCTCCTATCTTTTCTGGAAGAGATGCCAAATCTTTAAAAACATCAACATAATGCCCAAATCCTGGGCCCCAGTTCAAAAGATTATCCCAGTCAAAGTTGCCTCCTTGCTGTCCAAGTTTTAAAGGTGATGTATTGTCATTAGTACTAGGTGCAGTTGCTTGTGCACCAACAGGCCCACCACCCTCTCCTCTGCGGCCAGGGTATCTCCTAGGCTTGAGCCTAGCACCAAAATTGTCTTCATCATCTGCATCTGATTCATTAACTTGAGATAATTTAGGCATCCTGGAAGTATATACCATAGGTTTGTCCCTATCATACTCCATCTCAGAACATGTAAAAGAATCATGGGAATCACTGTCAGATGATGATTCTGGAGCTGGAATACCATCAGCTGGATTTCTTGTTCTTGAAAGTGGCCTTCTGCAGTCCTCCTCAGAAGAAGACCTTCCATGGTCAGCACTGCAGATGCTTGGGTTTCTAGGACGTGGTGTGTTTAGCCTCTCTACCTCTTCAATGGAAAGTCCAACAGGAGGACCACTCTCGAGAGCAATCTGTCCAATTGGTTGCTTTAGGCGACTTCCTGGCCTGGAACTATGAGCTGCCATCATTTGAGGACTCTTGCTTCTTCTCCCTAGTCTAGTAGGATAGTTAAAAATGCCTGTTTGGCAGACATCATTATGCATTTCCAAAGGGCTCCCTTCACGCATTGAAAGATGCATTTCCCTTGCTGGACTGTTTCTGTAGAAAGTTGATGATTTGGAAAATGGAGCTGGACTGTGACGAGAAAGATGGTTGGGCGTAGGGCATGCAGAATGGCTTAGGGAAGTTGTTCTTAGACCTTGACTGTATGAAGGCTGATACGTCAAACTGCTTGCTCCCAAGGGCATAGGGGACTGTCTTGCAAACCCTAATGGACTATGCCTCTGAATGGAGAATTTGGGAGTGTGGCTTCGGAACTGCTTATAGTGCTGAACAATGTCTGCATCTGAAGGAGCTATGCTGCTTGCATTGTCAATGTCATAGTGTTCTATTTCTGGTTCAGGGGAAGCTAGAGGGGCACTGGGTATTGTCTCTGTATTGTGTGGTATGTCTGTTTCATCAAAGATGAGGTAAGGGTTTTCTCTTTCAATTATGTCAGGCTTAGGGTTTCCTTCAGGCTGTTTCCTGATTGTCATATCATCACCATAGGGAGGTATATTGTCAGGGTCATCAAAAGCATCATTCTCGCTGCCCTTCTTTTTCTTTTCCTTTGTTTTCTTCTCCTCTTTTGGCACTTTTGCTTTCTTTCCCTTGCACTGATTGCACAAGATCAGGCTAAGCACAAGCAAGGCCAACACAGTAGCACAGCTGCCAACAATGGCTGGAACAGCCCATAGTGGCAACGACAGCTCAGCTGGGTAAGGCTGAGGGACACATATATGGGCTCCATTCATTCCTCCTTTGCATACATGTCCCTGGGCACACAAAATACCAAGACAGGCCACCGCTGTCTCACATGTTCTTCCAGTGTATGATTCAGGGCAGCTGCAAGTGAATCCAACTCTATCTTCAGGTTCACAACTACCGCCATTCTGACAAGGGTTGGAGGCACAGGCTCCTGGAGGCACACATTTATATGTATACCACTGGTTAATGCACATCAACTCTCCCCAACAGGGGTTGCTTGCACAAATGTTTGGCCCTCGGCAGCCGATCTTCACAGATGGATCTGTTCTGGAGATGGTAGCCAGACTATGCTTGCCTGTGAAAGGAAGACTTTCTTCACCATACTTCAGGTAGGCAATGCAGCCATCAAAACCTAGGAAAAGAGAACAGTAGTGACTTGCAGGTTGTATGTATAAACAAAGCTACTCTGATTTTAAGACTAGAAAGGCAAAAACAAATACTTTCTCAAAAATACCTTATGTAAAGTTGAGGGGAAAAGGCACAGTTCACTGGGTGTGAGTCTTTTCAATAGAGCTGAGCAAACAAGTTTAAAATCCTGGATGTATATAATTTGATTTTTAAAGCCTTTTCATACCCTTGGGTTTGTTCCATTATTTACCATTCTTTCCAAGGTGGCATTTCTGAATGTAATACACACCTTTTCCCTATGTCTTGGGGCTTAAAAATTGTTTTCAGTCCAATACCCCTATACTCTGCAGTAAACATGGAGAGTTTATAAAGCATGGATTAAACAGAACCCAGCTGGAAGTGACATCCATATTCGTTGTAATTTCTGAATTCACAAACCACAGTTGGTGCAGAACCATCCCTTATGATCACCTGGCCATAGAAACATACACAGTATGTCATTCCTACTGAAAAGCAACGGAAAAGCAAAAAACAGACAAACCAAGAAATTAGGATTTCTTACTTAAAGTGGTAGAATAACAAGCCATGGTTTAATGGGACATCTGATTGCCGGCACTATTTATTGGTCATGCTGTTGATTCTCTGGCTCACAGCCTGTTTGCTTAAAAGTGAATGATGTGCTCACTTTTGAAACACAGATAGGACAAAATGTTATGGAGCAACCTGGCTTATTAAGGTTTGTTGTTGTATCAGATGTTTATTTAAAAAAAACTAATTACCATGTTACATTCTTTTTTCCTATTAATTCTTTGGCCTTCTATAATTTCAACATGTATTGGATAACTAACCTAGAGGGCACACAGATTTAGAAATCAAAATAAAGACACACTCAGTTTCTGCACTACAACATCTCAAAACTGCATTTGCATTTTAAAACCTCTGAAGAACAAAAGCCATTTCTATAAATGGTTGAAAGCATATGTTTGCCTAAATATTTTTGTCTAAATTAAATAAAAATTAAAGCATGATCCAACCACAGTAGGGCTCTTTTAAATCAACTTGATTCAATGGGAAAGGTAAGAGTGTGTTTAACAACCCTAACTAACCTATGCATGTTTACTTGGAATTCAGGCCCACTGATTCCAGTGGAATTTAGGGCCAAACTAGACATTTCAGCACCTATGTTTCTGACCTGTGGTCACTGACACCATTTCAGAGAAGAATTTGGCAATTTTTCAACTGGCCAAATTCTTCTCTAAAATGGTGTTGGCATCCACAGGTCAGACCCATGGACACCATGACATCTGGTTTGGCTTACTCTCTAGTCAGCATGCATAAGGTTGCTACCTAAATCTCTCACAATGAAACTAATGGAACAATGTTTTGTTTTTAATTACCGTATTACAAGTCCCATTTATGTCAGTTAATTTCTACGCATGGCATGTTTAGAATTTAAAAAATCAGTCTAGTTTTTAAAACTTTCATTAATTTTATACGGTATGACAAAGTTTTAAAACACATTTCCTGCATTGTTATTTGCCTTCAGCAGCTAGGATATAAAAATGATGCAAAGAAAAACACTTTAGGCTAAAAAGGGCACTTGCGAACAGGCACATTTCTGTCAACTGATGACCAGATTATTTTTGAACTTCTGAAATTCAAGTGGAGATTTTTCTGACAGTAGCCTGAATACATGAAGACACATTATGACCCATCACCCAAGTGCTGAAATTTATTATTTTCATGACTTTTTTTCCTTTATCAAAGTCAATGCAGAATTGAAAAGCAAGAATGCTAAGACTACTGTTTTCTATACTAGAAATTCAGAAACAGTGTTATTTGTTTACCTTACACAGTTCCATGTGGTCAAACAAATGAGATGTCTGTATATATTGGTCTCATGAAGGTTCAATTTGCCATGAAGCCATGCAGGGAAGGACGAGGGTGCTTGACCACTCAACCGCCACAGCATTTCACTATTCACTTGAGCACTCAGTGTGTTAAGGTTTTATAAGAATTTGATAGCCTATTATTTATGGATTTGAACTCAAAGATCTTCTTTATCTTCACAACATTTATGTGAAATAGGTTTGACAGGAGAAAGAAGGAGCCCAAGATGTATGGCAAAGTAGGGCTGGGTCTCACAGCCCTTGTCTGTTGGTATATTACACTGTGTGTCTCAGCGCTCGGCATACACTGTGTGTGTCTAAGATGGAAAGCTACAGAATGGGTAAAACAGAACTCTGCCCTGTAATGATCCTTCTTTGTGGGTATTATGCCTATATTTAATATGGTTACGGAAGACATGTTAAGGTTGTTGGAATTATAGCAAAAATGTCTAAAGGCATATTTCTTGACTTAAAGGGACTTTTTATTTAAAGGGAAAGATTTTTATCTATTAACATCTAGACATGAATATTATCTGACATACTTAAGGATGTCAAACTGCCAGCTGAGCTTGTGATAGAAATAGGATTTTATATTTATTTATTTTTGCATGTATATCCCCGCCCATCCCTCAAGGGGCTCAGGGCAGGTTACATCAATTTCAATGAATACAATAAAATTTAAAACACATTATAAACATTAGGCAGTTCCAGCCCAGTTAAGATAGGTAAATGTGGCCGATTATCAGTGGATGGGTGACAGCAACCTTGGGGGTGGTGTCTTGTATGGACACCCGCCGCCTCAGCCAAAGACCTGGTGGAACAGCTTCATCTTGCAGGCCCTGTGGAACTGAATGAGATCTCGCAGGGCCCTGGTCTCAATAAGGAGCATGTTCCACCAAGCAAGGGCCAGGGCCGAAAAAGCCCTGGCCCTGGTTGAGGCTAAGTGGATGTCCCTTGAGCCAGGGACCACCAGGAGATGTTGATTGTCTGAGTGTAAGGCTCTTTGGAGCATATATGGGAAGTATAAGGCTTTAAAGGTTATTATCAACACCTTGAAGAGGATCCGGTATGCAACTGGTAACCAATGCAGCTGGCAAAGCACATGCTGAACGTGAGCCCACACAGGCGTCGACATCAGCAGGCACGTTGCCGCATTTTGCATCAGCTGTAATTTCTGGAGCAGCCTCAAGAGCCTGTGTAGAGTGAGTTGCAGTAATCGTCTGGAAGTGACCATTGCATGGGTCACTGTAGCTAAGTCCTGGAGAGAAAGATAGGGCTTCAGTAGCCTGATCTACCTCCATCCATGGACAGAGAGGCATCCAGTGTTATTCTCGGGCTCCTCACTGTCCAGGTTGGCACCAGAGGTGTCCCTTCCAGTGTGAGGAGCCTGATGCCCACATCTGTACCCCCTTGACCCAGGTACAGGACCTCCATCTTCGATGGATTTAACTTCAATCGACTGCTGCAACCGTCCAGCCACTGTGTCCAATACCTCAGCCAGCTTTCCAGGAATGGAAGACGAATGGCCATCCATTAGCAGATAGAGCTGAGGGTTGTCAGCATAGTGATGACAACCCAGCCCATAGCTCCAGACTAACTGCGTGAGGGGGCACATATAGATGTTGAATAACATTAGTGAGAGAATCGTCCCCTGCAGCACTCCACATTCTGGCGGGTACCACGGGGAGACCATCTCACCAAGCGTCATGCTCTGTTTCCAACTACGGAGAAAGGAGAAAAACCATTTCAAGGCAGTCCCCTGAACTCCTACGTCAGTGAGGTGGTGGGTCAAGAGATCATAACTGACCATGTCAAATGCTGCCATTAAGTCTAATAACAACAGCAGCACTGACCTGCCTAGAAGAAATATACAAATAATTCCTTCATTTGCATAAATTCATTTGAAGTTGAGAAAATAAGTTTAAAGCTGGCTATTTCTTTTCAATCTATTAATAAAATAAAGGCACAATATAATTTCATGTCCTGGAAGTTATTTTGGACATGGACCATCAGTGTGATCTAAAGAGGTAGCTTTTCTGGTAACTTTTATTACAGACCAGGAATATTGTACAGAGAAAGGATGGGCTTGAACCTCCAAGCAAACCCCGGTTCGAGCACAAACCAGGGGTTCAGGAGAATGTGTC